TTTATTGTATTTAAGTATACTTTTATTTTATGTTTGTGAATTTACATCACATTGACCCTTTAGCATTGTTTACATTAACTTTTCATTATCATCAAACGCTCGAAGACAACCTATATCGTCCGAAACATGAGTGTTGACCTACATCCATCAGCGCGATATTTTACTAATATTTATTATAGTTACACATTTGGCACGGTGCTCAGTGGGTGTCGCTTTCTGACGTCATGATTCCGCGTAAGTGTGGACGTAGGCACACCGAAGTGACGACGTCTTCTAAACAGCTGTTAACACTTCATACGTTACAAGTTTCACGAGATATGTTCAAATTTTCGTCACGGTTTGATGTTACTTTTGGCACAACAGTAATTAGTATTATGAGTAATATATGTAAGCCGTGGTAGCCTAATGGTTTGAGTTACTGCCGCTCAAGCAGAGGCCGTGAGTTTGAATCTGGGTTCGTATCTTGGAGTTCTCGGAATTTATGTGCGATGTGAATTTAATTTGAATTTTACTATGAACTTTTAGATAAAGGAAAACATCGTGATGAAGTCTGCACGTTGAAGAAGGTTCACTACCCTCGGACAATGTGTGTCTAGAACACAAACCCTTCATCTGAGATGAGATCACTGCCCAGCAGTGGGACATATAAATGGGATGATGACGATGATGTATGTATGGAAAGAATGTAGTCTTCCCTTCCATACAATTTGACAACCACACCAATTGCCTGGTCTCAAACTAGGGAAACCCTGTACTATGATTACCAGAGCAACGGAATTCACTCTGGGGCACTTTCCAGAACACCCAGACCAGAACCAATTTAGAAAAATTCATTTCCCAATTTCAGCCTATCGTGAATCGAACCCGGAACCTCATTCAGCGGTTGTACTGTACAACCGTTGGGCAACCGAGATCTACACGGCTGAATTTGTGTCCTCGTTGTTACAAATCGTAAATTCTTATTAATTATTATTATTAAAGGTGGTAACTTAGATAATTCCAAGCAGGCTTCATGATAAACGATCTTTTAAAAACTAAGCGAAATATTAAATAAATATTTATATATCTACTATATTTAGTTTCTTACTTCCCTACAAAATTGAAAACTTTATATTATAATAACTTAAAGAGAATCCTCACAAAATTACACATCGCATATTTATGTAACATAGACATTAAATAAATATTTTTCATAGCACGCTTAGCAGGAAAATCACCCTAATACTAGAAGCCAACGGCCTGTAGGCAATTCAATTTAAATAGACCGTAATAATACCAATCAAAACGATTGCCAGTAAGCACACGACGAAAATTTTACTCAGTGCATAAAAATGGGTTAACTAGCTGTTGCCCGTGACTTCGTCCGCGTAAAATGTTTTACATGCATTATATACTACTTAAACAAAAATGATAATAGCTGTTATCAGCCGCACAGATTTATGTACAGTCAACAGCAAATCAAGCTATAAACTTTTGTTCGAATATCGCTTCCAGTGCAACGGAACAAGATCTGTCAATGTGAGCTTGATGTGCTGCCGTCTATGTATCTTAAAAAATTATACACATAATACCTAAATTATTTGCTAAAATGTAAAATCATGTTACCTGTGTTGACCGATAGGTATAATTAGTTACAGTGGTTACGTAGTAGTGTACTATTTAAATATGATAATTACCAATTGAATTTTATAATTAGAGATCCACTGAGGTACTACCTAGTAGATAGGTACTTTTATTACTCTGAGGTATGCCGCCAAGTATAACGCAAATAGAGCAATATAAAAAAAACAATACAAACTTTGATTCACTCTCTCCTTGGGCTTGTTTTATAAAAATGTCATACTCCACTTTTATTATTTACATTGACGAAAATGTATGTCAATATTCAAGTTTGCAAATGTAAGGAATGCGATTTTCTATATCACCCGTATTTAGGGTGATATAGAAAATCGCGAGATTGTTTTGAAAAACACTGAAATACGTGTTTACTTATTTTGTACTTAAAGTATTCATCCAAGTTTGAAGCAAATCACACCACGCGTTAAAAACTTTCCAAAGTGTTTAAAAAGGGCCGTAGTTTTGAAAAAATGTTAAACTAAGTATCATCTTCGTAAGTTCAACAAATACGATTTTTAATACAGACATTTTAAACTTATTTCACTCTCTAGGGGTTTAATTTCGAAAAATCCATTCTTAGTACGCCTACACTAAATAAAAGTATCATACCGTCAAGCTTTCATGTTAGTTTTCACTGTGCGGCTAAAGCCGCGTACTCATTAGCGAGCTGTAACTGTAACGTGACGGATACAGTAACGAGGTTCTAGTGTGTACGCTTGAAACAGTCTTCAATCAGACGGCTCACTGCGAACCGCACGCGTTCCGATCGCGGCAAGCTCGCGAACATAACATGCAATGGTTACGGTTGCGGCTCGCTCTTGAGTACCCAACTTAATCGATTAGATAAATAGGTAATGAGAATTATGGCGTGAATATAGGAAAATGTATACTGTACGAAAAACTGTCTATATTATCATTTTGCCAATCATATTCTGTCCCTCCTTCCTAAATACATACTAGTTGCTTCAAATTCGTATTAGTAATTCATGCGTACTAACGGTACGTCGTCCTTTCAAACTCATCTATGTAAGTTTTTCAAAACTTACAAAGCAAACTTTCAAGTAGTTACAGGTCAAGTTCGTATATAAACAAGATCAGGGGCATTACTCCTGTTCTACGTCCGACAAGCGGACATAATTATGCAAACAAGAACCAACCCACACCTCGAGTGAAATTGAGTTATGTATTTAGGTAGAACACCAGACGTGTCCTTTACCCGCTTACAAAAGATCCTGGCAATATACCAAGCCAAAGCAGAGAAAATAAAAGTCCTTCAGGGTACCAACCCTAAATAAGTAACTTTTGAATAGCTAAAAACAACCATGCTGCTTAACTTCATATAATGTATTTTTTTTAATATGTACTGTAGATCTTTAGCGTTCAAACTAGAACATGGTTCTCGGTAACTAAATAAAAAGATACATAATATTTTCTATTTATTGCTATATAATATAATAGTTTCCCTATATCATTATCAATGCTACACATAACTCACGTTGTTTGTCTCAAATAACTTACCTATTTATTTCTTCACTTCTTTTATAAAAATCTAATTATCTCGAAAGTGACGTTTTGTGAGTTGGTTCTAGTTTGCATAACTATGTCCAACTTTCTCAAACAATTACTATCAAATAAGTAATACTCGACCAAATCAAAAGACACACAGACATACAGAGTATGACTTATTTGACAGTAATTGTTTCGGGCGGATGTCGGACAGAGGACGGGAGTAGACCCCAGGTCACATGAACTAGATCTGTGACCATACTCAAATACGTCACGGACTTACATTTATATTATAATTACATGTAAAAGTATGCGTCAATTCCGAAACAACAAACGTAAAAATTTTGGAACAGGATATCCTGTCATATTGAATCACGGAGAAAAACATAGATGCCAATATATTTAATATTTTAAGGTATTTGCCTACTCATGAACAGACTTCGCTGCTATGTGACTAACTGGCTTCGTAACGAAGTAGAATGAAACTGCTGATAACAATTATTCAGTTTGCATCGCCAGGTTTGTTTTACCTACGACAGTAACCGTCATAACATATGCATAGCGTTATACCTAGCACTTCAAATAATAATTGATCTTATTAAACCACACAGATTTAACCGTCTCCGTAGCCGCACGGTTACCATACTGGACTGTCACGCAGAGATCTCGGGTTGGATTCGCGGGTTGGGAGAAATACTTGTATGGCCTACAGAGTTTGAGTGTAATTTGTGGTCGTCTATGCGTGTGTGCATGGCGTCCGCGATACAGGGTTTCCCTAATGCGGGGCTATCAGTGTGTGCCAAAGCCAAGTGCATATGCGTGACTGGTAGTGGAGAAATGTGGGATCATGGCATCAATCTGTAAGAACTTCCTAACAAGGAAGAGAGGATACGAGGTGATATATGTTTGGTGGTAGGTTCAGTGAATACAATGACTGGTGTAGCTGTTTCGGAGTAACGCCTGTGATTAATTATTATTATTATAGAAATACGATAGTACATAACTCCTTGGAAGGCTCATACATATTCAGGGTCTGCATTAGTTGCGCACTTCGAAGTAATGTAATAACAAAGTATATTACGATGTGAACTATGAAACAAAAAGATGCTTGTATTGCATAAAATGTGTAAATATATCATAATCTTTGATTTGGTAATCTTTTATCGTGAATAAGTTAAAACGCTTGTTGACAACTGGTAGATAATCAGATAGGAAGATTATTGAAAGACTAATCTTGTTCCGAATAATATTGATTGTAAATAATATCGAGCGGCAATAAGACCTATATATTGAATGGTCTATTTATCTAGACAATAAGCAATCATATTTTAATGAGCTACTTTTCATGGGTGACGAATTTATTTGTTGGATACCTGACAGGCAAAAACGAATAGGTGCAAAACAACATTATTTTGATTCCGTTTTTCTTTAATTATGAAGAAGTATTTTAGTGATATTAGTAGTGCCGGTTTTGTAGGGCTGAAATTACTGTCAGAAGGTTAAATCACCGTGCAAAATCTCAAACAGTTCAGACAACAAAATAGACGAGGTGCGTGCCGAGATCAATACGAACAAAAAAGAAATAGTATCAAAACTTTTAATCCTACCGTAAAGATTGGCGACTTGAATTTCCTTCAAGTAGTGTAAGAAATTTAACTTCAGAGGACCTATGTTTTTAAAAATATGTTAGTGCTAAAATGAGTAAATGTTTACGAATTTTCAGAACGCATACGCTCAAACATTAACATTAGAACTCTATTGCGCAATTAGTAAGTTTCGCACCTCTTAAGCTATTGTAATATATTATTTACGGACCTTAACTTATTGTGTTCTGATATGAATTATTTTATTAAAATAAATAGTATTTGATTACTTACTTCATTTGTTTGACTATAGTACTTTTGCCCGACTCTCCGGCACCTGAAAAAATAAAACAATGTTAGTTTTGCAGTTTTATATCAAGTACCTACAGTCACCAATGAACGTTCTGTGTACTGGAATTCTTGTTGGAATGTTTATAACAATTCACAGGTATTGTCAGAGATATAAAATATTTAGAAGTATTCATTTTTATCATAATTAGATTATAGAAATTGATACAATTATTTTGATTGATAATGATATGATGTTAAAACCATAAATGTTTTGACAACTGTACTTCTTAAATTTAAACAGCTGTGGCGACGTAAAAAGCATGTAGCACAGAGGTTGTTCATTCCTAACCCACTGCTGGTAATAAAGTAGGGAATGATATAAAATGTATACTTAATTACTCTGTAACGTAAACTGTAACAGTCCGCATTATGCATGTCTCTCTGTAGTAAAAATAGCTTGGAAAAATAAATTAAAAGCGCGCGGAGATACGCTCACACATTAACTGTAGTGAAGATGGTTTGTTTCACTTTTTTTTAAGCTTGTGCTCTGTGTAGTTAAGGAATTTTTAATTGTGAAAACCATTTTGTGTTATATTCATTCATTTTTTATTTAAATACCAAATGGTGCGAGTCATCGCCGCTTACATACATATTTGTTTGCAATGTCATGTTTTATTATAATGCAAACAATATAACGTCATTTTACTTAACTTATGATCTCTATAAACCTATAAACTCGATCCACGATACCTAAAACCCAGCAAACCTATACCAAGTCTTGCAAAAACAATATCGGTTAGTTTTTTTTACATTTGTTACTTTGTCTAAGAAATCAAAAGATAATTTTTAAGGGTGGAATATGTATTCGGTTTTTAATATAACTAAAACAAGACGTTCTAAGCTAGCTAACTTCAAAACGCTTGCTTGGAATCTCAAGGAAGTTAAGATTAAATGAAGAATGATTCACCAAACACGTTATTTTAGTCATAACTTGTTTGTAGGCCTCTTAGCCTCCTGAAAACAGACTCTGTAACAGAATCTATAATAACTATTTCATTTGAAAAGAGATGTCTTCATCCAAAACAGGAGGGCTGAATGAAGAACACACTATCTTATGTAAGCATCGGAATCATTTATTACTGAAAAACTTTTAATATCGTAAAGAATAGTACAAGTCCGTGTATGTAGTATTGGCAAAAGGCGCGTATTTGCACCAAACCAAATTTCACTGGAGAGGGATTTAACGTTATTACTTTGTTATTTAAATAGCTACGACTTTAATTTTAGCGCAGTAACCTATAATTTATATTGTCTACGGACTGATAACAATAGATTCCCGTAAATCACGCTATTTTCGGGGATTTGATTTGGCCATAAAATTACCGAAATGGAAACTCATATTCAAACGCTAGTTACGCGTAACTGCGCAATCCCCAACGATATGAGTTTAAACTTTATTAATCGTTATATAATTAATCATAATTTATTAGTTAAATATGTCGCCACTCGAGACTCTTTGGCCTCATCGGCTACGTGTTCTGCGCACAATGTGCCCCGCCCACTGCCACGATAGTTTTGCAATTATTAAAACAAATATTGACCCATAATTCTAGTATCGAATGTCACGGCGTAACTTATCGTAAAATTTTGTTTACTGTAGCGAACTGATGATAATGAATTATTTAACACTATAATTTTATAATATATTACATTACA